CCTAATACTTTATATTTTTTTCGTGCCGAATCTCGCTTGGAATGGGTGAATCCACCCCATGAGAAAAATGCAATTTTTCCGTTCCCATGGATTATCTTGAGAATGGTAAGAGATAGGAAGAAAAAGTTTAAACAAATAATACGTTGTTCTTTCGCATCTATAATATTGCAAAATAATTTTTCAAAAAAAGTTAGTGATCGGAGTATTTTGAAAAATTTGAATTTATGAATGATTATTAATTAATTTTTATATTCAAAATCTGATAACGCAGCTTTGGCAACCTTCTAAATGTAAACCCTAAACAAACCAATAATGTCCAACACAAAAACAAAAAGTTTGCGCATTTTATTACTCCATCATTGTGTCTTATAAATTCTTCTTGTTTCATCTCCCAAATAATCTTATCAAAATTTTTCAAAAGAAAATTTTCTCGTTTTATTTCAATATTTTTCTACAGGTCCGTCAAGAGTTAAACTGCAGTTGTAACAACAAACGTCAACACAAATCTTAAATTAAAAGACGAAACACATTTCAAACCAGAAAGAACTAATCCAACCGATGTTATAATCATCGACTCGAAAGAGATTTCGGACGCGACGTTTCCCAATTCGCGACCCGTACCAGCGAAACAAATTCGGGTGAGGCTTTCCTTCGGCGAACGTGACTGCTAATATTCCGCAATTTATTAACATCGCGCCGCGGTAACTTATGATGCAGAGAGGGAATATTATCCAGAAATGAGCATTGCATCTATCGATCACTTTCTCTTCACTTCCAACAAGACATCAATCGAACTCGGAATCGTACATTCCTTTGCGCTCTGAATTTGCTTTAATCGGCCCCGGTTTAATTATCACAAGAATTTTATGCCACGCCACTGCGCCGGTTGATACCGGCAAATTGGTAATTCGACGCTTGTTCTCGGCGCCGTTACAAATTACCCTTTACCGTGAAATAATTCGGAATGAACCGGTCGCGCGGAACAGCTCGTTATTCGATTAATAAATTGAATTCGCTGGTCTATCTCTAAATTTCTCTGTTCCGTAAATAGAAGGAACATCGATACCTTGTTTCCATCCGGCACACCCTCGTCCAGCCCTGTTGGTCCAGGTGGAATTCCATTCAACCTAAATAATTCCGTTCCGTTTCGAAAAGCCCCGTTCTCACGTAGCGGCCACCGGAAATGTCGCTCTTAATTTGTTTGATCCTATATCGCGGCGCGTCGGTTTTTCCCGTTGCGTCGGGACGCGCGTTTCAGGCGTCCGGAAGTTCTTGCGCGGCGGATACGCGAGTAAATTACGATGCCCGTCACGCGTTCAACGAAAGGGTCAATGAAAAGTCAATACCGGTAAACGATGCCGGGCGTAATTGAACGTTTGACCAATAAATGTCGCCGGTGTTGCCGCGCGAATGAATTTTCGTTCGTTTCGTAACTCACGCCCGGTCACCGGGAACGGTATCGAAATTCTATTCCCGCTCTTTCCAGCTCGGAGAATCGAGCTGCCGCCGCACAGAATCTCAATACCCTTCCTCGCTCGTGACGCGGCGCGCCGCTCCACGGAGACGCGGTGTCCCGCCATCCTGATCGCATTCGAATAAATTCGGCGAAACGGACACTCGGCTTCCCGCGATCCCTATAGTAATTGTCTTCGTTCGAACCGAACGCTTGTGCTTTCTCTTTCTGCTACGGAGTATTTCTAACCCATTCCCTGACGATTTATTTTGTAATTGTGTACGCCGGAACTACTTTGTGTTTAACCCCTTGCACTACGATTTATTTTTCAATTATGATCGATACTATAACTTTGTCTGAGTAAATATTGGGGCATCCCATAAATACTGCAGTTTTTGATATTTCTTTTATTTTTAAAAATAAACATAAACACGCACACACACACACACAAATCTGTTTTTCATCTGAAACATATTCTCTTTTGTTATCTATAAATTGTTTATCTATACATTATAATTGGTTTCGAAAAAGTTTTGTTTATCTTTATTTTTTAATGAAATCAAATATTAACGGTACCAATGCTTCATGTTTTGTACCAATACCAACATGTGTGAGACATATCAGTACTAGCACGGATAATTGTCCGTTATACATTGTAATGTGCCATGTGTGAAATAAACACTTGACTAGCGTAGCAATATTAATTGATTTTAATTATTAATACCGTAAAAACGAAACCTTAAAAATATTTGTACCTCTCTATCAATTCATTTTATAAAACAAAAAATCATACAGAAAAGGGTAACGTGACAGAATAATTCTGAAATTATGAATATTTTAAAGGCTTAAATTGTATAACAAATAAAACTTTTTTATTTGAAAATATAATAGGACTGGTTATTCTTCATTAATTATTGTTAGTTACAATAACAGTCATTAAAGATATAGTTTGCCAACCTACAATTATAAGTCCGTGAAATACAAGCTACAATACCCATAATGGTAAATTCACAAATACAAATCAAATATTAATTACAAAGACATATTAAATACAAATCAAGAGAAAAAATTTCGTAAATCAAAAACTACAAATCCAGAATATTTGATTCCATGTTTGAGGAAAATTCAAATCTTTAAATATGCCCTGCTGAAATTATGAAAAGAACTTCCTTTCATAAAATATCATGTGGAAGAACATTCATTTAAGCAACAGTAGACAATTCTGCTCGTTTTCCTGATCTACAGTGTTTACAAAACTCATGCGAAACCCATATACGTAATGAACAGGATGCTATAAAAGGGTCATTGAGGTCACAAAGAACAAAGCCATAAATGTTAATCCTTGCTTTGCGTGAGATCTCTCGATACGTTAATTGCCATTGAGAGTAGACCGGCGGAAAGCCTGTTAACAAGATCTAAACAATTACATTCCTATTAAAGTCTTTGAAAATATTTAATGAAATCCAATAAAGAACCTTTCATAAAAGCGATACTGTTTAGGTTAACTTCAACGGAAAATTAAACGCGTGATCTTAAATTATTACAAATCACGTTCCCATGATGGACAATTGCTTTATGAATTGGTTACTGCTGCCATCCGTGCTGTTATGTGGTCAATTATGTCATATAATGTCGCATCTTGAGGTTTATGACCAGGTTTATTAACTGCAAGATTATACTCAAATGTGTTTACGAGAATGCATAGTAACCAACTAGCTACTGATTTCAATACTAATGGTTATATATTTGATCTAAAACAAGATATCGACTTGCAATTTATGTGCAATCATTGAGAAATTATTTGGAAGAGGGACTTATCCACCGGAATCTTGTTTCATTATATTCAGAGCTGAAATTTTCTTTCCTTAACAGAACCGCAATATTAATGCAAATCTCCTAAAATTGAAGTTATACCAAAAGAGATGTTTATTTTACTTTAAGTGAAAAAGATAGAGGTTTGAGAATATCATTTTATACGCCTTTTTCCGAATCGATTTTCCTTATTATGTTAATAAATATTATATTAGATATTTTTAAGATAAATATTATATTAGCTTAACTATTAATACTAAATGATAGTAGTAATAAACAAAATAAAATTAAACTCCATTTTTATATGTTTAAACTTAACTGTGAATGATCTGTTGTTGCTTTAGTACCACAGTTTATTAAACAAACTACTCGATCTTTTACCTTATACTTTATTTCACGAATAAATTCACAAGAGTTACTTCATCAATAATAAATTTCCTGTGAAGCTTAAATATTCATCCGGAAACTAGAATTTTTCTCTAATTGGTGTCATTTGAACACTATTTACATTTATAAAATACAATGAAGAATCTGTTTTGTGGATCTGCCCTAAATTTACGAGGCTAGCAGTAATAACGAAGCAACTTATATATTTCATTTGTGGCAGAATGATATTCCAAAATGACACCGTATAAAAATTGAACATACATCATATAACGTTAACATTATATTTCAATTTAAAGAACAATAAAATAAAAAGTACGTACATTCTAAAAACTTTACAACAGCCATTTATCGATTGAAATACGCTGTTCACATGATTTTGTCGTTCTCTGTGAACAGGTGTGTGTATTTAATCTTTTTGTGTAGTCTCTTAAGTCAGCTTAACTCCTTACCCTATGATTTACTTCGTAGCTATGATCGATGCAACTACTTTATCGTTAATAATTTATTAGGAAAGGGCACAATTTTTATGCTTATTCTATATCTGCGTTTACTTCAAAGGTTAATGATTAATGACACAAAAGTAATATTTAATTTATATTTAAAAAATATACATAACACTTAAATTTCTTAAATTTAATTTTATTCTGTTGGAACCTCCTATCATTTTTATTTCTCCTTAACACTAAGTTTACAGGCGTTTATTGTATAGTTTATTCTATTGATCTTAAGAAAATTGATATTCGTTCATTTACATTTTAAAAATTAGAGGTTTAAAGATAGGCAATTAAAATACACATTTGCGTTACCGCGTAAATCAAAATAGGCGTAAACATTAACTAAATAATGTTTATAAAATTCAATGTGCGTCAGATTGACACGTTCTGTAAATCTAGTGTTAAGCAAATCTATTATTGTTGAATTTATTCAAATTTGTTCAAAATTTAAACAAACTAGAACAATAGCTACTGAATGTCGGCAAAGAAATTATCGCCTGAGTCTATAGCAGATATACTAGCTTCCAAACTATCTTCCATAAAATCATATATCCTTGAACCCAATCACTTTTCTAGAAGGTTCTCTGATCCTTTAATCTTACCCTCTAGTGCATGCGCAAAATCATCAATTTCGAGGGGTAATACCAGCATCAATTTATAAACGATTGTAATATAATAAACTCAAATATCCCCGCTGAAACACAAGCGTGGACCGAATTAACCATGCCTAATTATTAAGTCCTCAATTCTGATTTGTTCCGCAGTCGAGTCGTGTGCTGGAGGCCGAGAGATGGTTCCTGAGAGCTCGTAGACTAGCGCCAGACGATTCGAGCGTGCACCATCATTACGGTAGGTGTAACCGATTTCTCTAATTACTACCACGAACCAGGAGACCGTCGTAACGTGGCGTAGAGAAAGAATAGGTTGATGATCGAACGTTATCTTCAAGAATCAAACCTGTATAGTTCCTCCACCCTCTCTCATCCTTCTCCTTCATGCCTACAGTAATTCGCGAAACGATAAGAGGGTCTCGTTCATTATTAAAGCAATGAAATACAACCTCTTAAGGGCGCTCCTCACCGTTACCGAGCAAATTGGAGTGGCTGTCGACCGATTCATCCTTCGGTCCATTGTAACAGCAGTATAATTGTTTCCTCGTAAACTTAGCCCACTTCGCGGGGACATTAGAGATTCTCTCCGGTTTCCGAACTGCAGTTGCGGGGATGAAACTCAAACGTTACAATGATGATGGGAGGGGGATGAAGAAACAACAGTGACGGAAATTTTTCGAGGGTCGTTTAATACAGAAGATAAAAGGATCGACGATTCGGTTCTATAAATATTCTTGTAATATTTTACTAAGGGATGAAACGGATGGTGGGATGCGAACATTGGGACAGACTAATCGGGAAAAGATAGAGGGCCGCCGGGGAATGGAAGATGGCGCAGCGAGCCATCAGCCGGAGTAAGATCGACGGGTACTGAAATTCCGGAAAGACGTCTCGATTCCAACTCGTCCCATTTTCCCCGATCGCGACTCCGAGGCTTCTCGATCTCATCTTGGCAACGAAGGCATCCCTTGGTTTTGCTCCCCGCCCGAAATCTGCCCGGCCCTTTCACGAACGCGCGACATCAGTCAGCCGATTCTTTGCGGCCAGGATTAATCTACTCGCCGAAAAAAGAGTCACGGTGTCGAGTACTATTTTTCGGCACGGGGGAAGGCTGAGTGCAAAAAACCACGCGGTTTATCTCTCTTAGCGGTACGCGTCATTAGGCAGTGGCGCCGCGGAAGGTTGCGTTATATATCACGCCGGGATTCATGACTGCCATCCGTGACTCTGTTCCAACGAAATTTTTCGACCGTTCCCGGTATGGAATTCGTGAATATTTAAAGGCGTTCGACGGTGAATTGAGTTTTTATTGTTGCGGTGCGCGTTATCGTTGGAGAGCTTTCGACCTCTTTTGTTTTTCTTGCGGTGAAGTTTTGTGTAGGTGGTGCGTTTGTTTTCCAATTATTTTTAGAATGCTTTCTTTTGTTTTAATGTTTGATTGTGTTTTTTGAAAGTTGCAAAGTTGTTTTGAAATATCGCACGGGCAGAGAAATTATAGAATTTTGTTTGAAATTTGATATTAAAATTTTTAGATGACTTGGTGAATATTTGAGGGAATATATGTTAGGAAATTGTAAACGAAATGTTTAATAGAATGCCTAAAGTGGATAAAAAAGTAAAAGAATGTGTAAATACTATTAGAGAGTGCTTATTATGAAAAGTTTGTGTAAGACTGATTTCACGAGGTTATCGTTAAAAGGTATTAAAGAGCATATAATTTAAATAAATTTTTTCAATTTTAAAAAGCACGCAATACTAAAAGGCACAGAAATTTGTCGTCTCGTTTTCCTCCACGCGCAAGTTGGTAAAACTTTTTAAGTGCTCAGAAACTTTTCACTCATAATGTAATTAAAAATTTATTAGTAGAAATAACTAATTAAAAACTGAGTGATAGAACCAACGATAGACAGCGAATTTTCATTTCTACGTAAGTCTTAAAATTGACAAGTTTTTTAAAACTTACAAATTACTAGAGAGGCAAGTTTGTTTATTAAAGTACTGTATTAAAAAATCGCGTGACGTGCCGAGAAACGCATTCTAACGTTCTTGATGAGAAATATTAAACTTGTGTTAGGTAGTTATATGTAAGATCTTTATTTCGCATTTTTATGTAAATATTATCATCTGTATACTTTATGAGGAAAGAACAGAGAAGATGTTAGTACATGTATTTAGATTCATGTACTATTTGATATATTTATTTTAAAAATTACATTTCTTCAACTAAAAATTATACATGTAATTACTGAATTCTGCAAAAACATGTTATCTTGTATTTTCAGGATTTGAATGATTATATATTTATTGTATTTATAATTATTATAAAAACAGATACAGTATATGAACACTCTTGATCAAAAGCTCTGTGGCCCTCAGTAAATTAAGAGAAATAAATTTCTTAATTAACATATTTGCCGCCAATATAATTTTCTTAAGAGATGCAGCGATAGGGAATGTATATGGGTGTCAAACTTCTTATTTATAGATAAATAAATAAGATATTTAAATAAGAAGTTTCAGGCCCATATTCATTCACTATCGCTGTATCTTACTTTGCGACACATAGTACGTAACAACATACATAGTACGAAAACAAAATTCTCTATAGTTCCGTCTCACTTCGTTGCATTCGATCTCGCTTTCGTCCTTTGTTATTGCCGGACGCCAATAATGACCATGCGTCGAAAGTTGAGGCTGCCCGAACATCGTGAGTGGAAAAGTCCCCTTGCCCCTGCGCACTGTTAAACCACTGGTCGGCTTGGCTATCGGGAAAACAGGACTGTACACATCATTGCGCCTCTCACTTTATCATTCTCGCGAAAACCGTACGCTAACTCGACCCGTTTCTGTTCTATTCAGGACTGTTCCTGTCGTCCCAGGGTAGACTGTCGGAAGCGGCGGAGGAGCAACTTCGCGCTGCCGAGCTGTCTCGATCCGATTACGAGCTGTCGATGGCGGCGGCGTCGGCGCTTCGCCAGGCAGACCGACTGGAAGACGCGGAGATTTGGTACCGTCACGCGGCCAGCTTGAGGCCCAACGAGGCGCGTAGTCACACGAACTTGGGCGCGATCCTCCACCTGAACGGGAAATACAAGCAAGCAGCAGCAGCGTACAGCGAGGCGTTGAGGCTGCAACCCGGTGACGCGACCACCATCATGAATCTCCACAAACTGGCGGCCATTTTGGCGTGACCTCATGACACGGAGCGAACAGTGTTGGCGCGGCGTCCGCGGACAGAGACAGTAACGAGAAAGATGAAGGAGAGTGTGTGTATTATACGACCCCAGGAAAGACCCACTATCGACTCGCCGTATTACCTGAGCCCCACGTCTCCCCCGATCTTCCTCCCGATATTCGTTTATATCCGTCGACGGGCGCGGCAATGTCACCGAGCTGACATACTCGGCTACGTTGCCGCTCTATCGACCCGTATCGCCTGCTATGGTATGTAAAGAATAAAGCTTCCTTTATTTTTCTCTAATGAGATTTTGTCTTTTATCCATAACCCTCCTTCTCGTCCCGGTGTCATCTTCGCTCAATAGGGGCGCATTATTGTTCGACGTCTTCAAAGGGTGGAATCGTTAGCCATCATCCTTCATATTGGCTGTGGAAATTTATTGACGACTGTGAGGACTGTTGTTATTTTTCTGTCGCTGCACTTCGTTTCGTTTGTGCGTTAATGGTAGTAAGTTTCTCGGTGGTATAGACAGTTGTTTTGATTCGCTCCGTTTATAAGACTGACAAGTCGCTTCGACAAACTGGTTTCCTTTATTCTTCGACTGGGGAACGATTATGCAAATTCCAAGCTGATCAAACTATTTGGCGAGAGTTCAAAGTTTAGAAAGTGCGAGCTGTATATTCATATTTGGTATGAATACGTAAAATTCTGGTGTTAATTTTAGTAAAAATCGTAAGACTAACATGATTCATGAAAATTCTCAAAATTAAATGTAAAATAAATCTTTCTTCGACAGAAGAGGAGAGATTATTTTAAGGGTTATATATCGAATCAGATTTTTATTTTCTTACAAAGATTATAGGTTGTTTCAGATAATTACAGTAAGATTTGTATTTGAGTATATAATCCCTGGACACAAATGTACAAAAACTGTATTACTATTTGACTAAAGGAATCAATCAAAATATTTTATTATATTCTTCTTTAAATTTTTGCGACTCCGTTTGAACAATCCAATTCTTTCTTTAAAAGTATAAAATTTATTAGAATATCCAGATCTAAAATATCTAAAAGTATATAATTCTTTAGAAGAGCTCTCCTCGTGTCATTTTCGATTCTAATTATCTATTCGTTGATACGATTACACGGTAACGAATCAAAACCGTAAATAAAACATATGACGAGAGACTCCTCTTGTCTTTGTACCATCCCAGAGCACTTCTCGTCTGTAACGCAAAGTACACATCAATTATTTTTATAGGAATATTATAGCGAAGTTTGAATAAAATCTACAACTTTCCTTTTAATATCCCTTGCTACTTTTCGGATTACAAATCAAGAAGTACAAACATCGAAGAAGACCACGACACGTAAGTAAAATCTCCGAAAGTTTATGAATCAAACAGAGCTATGCGGGCAGTCGGTTGACCAAGGGTAAAGCTCGGTTTGCTAGTGAAGAGGTGAACCTTGAACTTTTCCGAAGCGGTCATGAATCACCAGCATCCGGCGAGCCAGTTCTTTTCTGGCGGAAGAAAAATGTCAAGGGCGTCCTGGTTGACCCTGATTTCACCCTAAGAGCGGAAGTCGTGTCAGAAACTCGCTCGTTGCCTTCATCCTACTTCAGCTCCACTAATGTCGAATTTATTTGCACGACGTCACTGACTGGAATATTTAAGTTTACGCTTTAAATCACACCTCCGGGTGAGTCGCGAACACGAGGAACAGGGGGTTGAAGGGAGTTAGAGGCGAGAGAAAAAGACGGATGAGGGTAATACCGCGAGAAATGTAGACACAGGGACAGGGGAGAGTGACAGAGAGGGACGAGAGAGAAGAGGAAACGAAGCCACCTGTCGCGCCCGTCGCTCTGGCAGAGACAATCTCGACAAACACTCGACAGGTGCCGCGCGGCGGTTACCTACCTTCATTTCGCGAAGAACTTGCTTCGTTATCTTTAAAGCGGAACCGGTCGAGACGTCCGCTTCGGAGCGAACGAATGGTTCGTTTAGCCGGATCAGTCCAAGCCCTCATTGCATGCCATTTCGTTTCGACCTCTGTCGCTCCCTCTCACCAGCCCCGAACCCCATTCAACTTTTCCTAACCTCCTATGTTGACATCTTGATCCACTTCTCTCTTTGCCTTCAACCCCATTAATATTTCACGCGCACTTTCAGTGAAGTCGGAGTCCATCCCTTCCCCTCGCTGACCGAAACAACCCCCCTAACTTCGATCTTTCTGAATAGCTTCAAAAACTTAAATACGAAGAACGAAGATCATAGACTTTCCATCGAACTGAAAGATAAGCTTCGAGTTTACTAGTCCTCTTTTTAAAGTCTTGCAACCCTCCTGGACTCCTTCGTCGTTGAGTTTCATGAGTTTGCAATCGTGAGACGCGTCTGCTCCAGTTCGACATGAATCGTCTGGCTATTTTGTTTGTTGTTGGTTTATTATTTAATCATAAGTAATTTTGTATATATTTGTTACTTCAGGTTTTTGGACATCAGCAAATGACGTAGTGTTACTAAATAGTTTCTGATTGTAAATTCATTTAAACTATTTCGATGAATTTTACTGTAAGAAATTACAACAAATTTTCTTTCGTGACAGTCTAGAGAGATAGGGGAACTAGTTCTACTAAATAATTATGAGTGTGAAATTAAGTTTAAGTTCTTGATTAAACCACGGATAAGGTAAGGATAAATGATGTATACTAATGAAGCTAGGCAGGATTTAGGGATATGAAAGGGAACGTGTGGAGTCAAAAGGCTGAAGACCCGATTGAGGTTATGATAATAACCTTAAGCTGATGAATGCTCACTTGGCTCATAATCAAAAATTTATTGCACGTGGGTTTCAAGAAGGATGTATACAGAGTGTCACCGATCTGATGACACAAATCGAAAGGAGATAAATCTATACATAATGAAAATAAATCAGAAAAAATGTTAATTCTTTCATTCAAGGGTTTATCTTGAATAAACTCGAATGCGATCATTTTTGTAATATATCCAAATGTGGATGGACTGAGAGTTTGAGTGACAACTGAAGGGTGTAATACATGAAAAAATAAATTGAACACATAGGATAACGTTTTATCGTACGAAGCTCCATTTTTAAATAAATGAATGTTGAAGATTCGGGAAAGGTGCATGCATTTATACACAGTCACAAATACTTACGTACATCAATATGATTTTCAAACTTGATTTTCTTGAAAGTAGAGCTCCAAATAGAAAGATTTTATTGCATTCATACAACTTATTTTTTCATGTAGGTAGATATTCCTTTCGTGTTATACTATCAGGTTGGCGACACCCTACATATTAAATTTTATACTTAGTTTTAAATACGTGTTACAATCCATGTGTATATAGAGTGTCCTATGTTAATCTATTCATTATTCAAAACATATGTTAAATACAATTTTTTCTATAACACATTTTTTAAATAACTTACTAAGTAACTTATTAAATAGTATAAATTTGTGATAAAAATAATTAGGTTTACAGATTAAAATAGGACACTCTGCATAATCACATAAACAAATTAGTAAATAAGAAAATATACATATACTTCAATAGCCATCCCTTTGTGAAAGTGACCCTACATTCGTCATGCAAGGTTTAAAGGATTTTGAGATTAATACTAGTTAGAGATGAGAAAATAAAAGGTAGAAAGTAAAAAAAGCAGAACGTTTGCTTGTTTGATTATTTTGAGTTCTCATTCGAGCTTTTATCTTTTTATCCCTGCTCCTCATTGGTTCTCGCTCTCCCTCGTTCAACATCTTCGCCACCCCTTATTGCTTCGCGATGTCACGCCCCGGTACCCGACGTGCCCTATTCGCTTACAGATTAAACGTATCGCCGTTTCGTTTAATTTTCTACCGTATTCTTTTCCCCGAGTCTTTCGCTGAGCGACGGTAATTCTTATAATTAGTCACAGCCAAGACGACTCCGCGCGGAATGCATCTCTTGTCCCGCTTGTTGGCACACCTTTCAACACTATTTTTCTCCTTTCAGCTTCTTCGAATACCGAGTCGACGACTCCCTATTCCCTACTTCTTCAAATTAACTGTTAGTAATTACCGTGAGGTAGAGTACTGTGAAACTGCATTCAACGGAACGGAATTTTTTGGTTTTTGCTTGGGAAAACTCGACCATCATTTCTCGTGATTTTTCGTCTAAGGGTACCCCCGTTTGGACGCATGAATAGTGAGTAGATTTTGTGATCTCGCTTTTAAAAGAGTGGAGCAACGTGTACGCTGAACGACTTTAAGAGATATTAATTAATATTATAACGTATTTTTCTGTAATTATGGTGAAATGAAGCTGATAATTTTTTAAGATGTGTTATACTGAATTAGAGTAATAAGTTTCCCGACCTGATGGTGACCTTAATTACTCTTGGTGTTTCTTGCAATGAAGTATGTTGTTGCTATAAATGAAAAAACATATGCTAAATAGAACTATGAAGGATTATATTAAGAACCAAATGAACTTGCCATCAATGAAATCGTTTAATTGGTGTTTGAGATATTACAGTTACTACTTTGGAAAATACTGATATTAGAAAAGAGTGTATAAATATTTCAATACACTCTCTATAGTGATAATGATAAAAATGTTTAATCCACGATCAATCTACATTTCCTGTATCAAATAGTAATTCTTGATTTTTTATCATCACGAATACGGAAGATTTCAATCCTCCATTGAAAATGTATTTCATCATGTGTAAATAAGTTTTTCGTTAGCTCCGTTAATACGTTTTTTCGTTCAAAATATTTTAAAAAGTGATGGATTTTCATGATGAAGAGAATTTAACGCTTCAACAGATTCAGTTTTTCAATATAGTGCTTTGCAAATCGTGTTTTCATTCATTTCCCCACACAAATTAATTGTTTTCATGGAATTTTTGTGCATCAATTGTTTTCTATAGCAGCTATTGACGGAAGACTTTCAATTTTTCTAGAATGTGCAATTTTTTAAGAGACCCAAATATATATAATAATGTCTTTATTATATGTCATTATATTTATTTATAATGTATATATAAAAAGACATTATTTCCTTAGCTTGAAATATGGGAACACTTCTTTAATATAGTTGAAAAGTTTCAAATTATTTATTGCAAAAGAACAGATCTTGGATTTTTCAATAGAAAATATTTAAATGAATTATCTAATAAA